GGTACCACAGCTCAGCGTCATAGAGTGTCTTGCTTACGTAGTAGATGAGGTATTGACATAAATCTTCTTCCCTAATCAGGGCGGCACTTATGGCGACGTCGGAGACCCCAAGGTATAAGTATAGCATTTCCTCGGGTCGTGATTTTTTCATTGTGGGAGCTCGTCTGAGGACGTCTTCGATTGTTTCCAGCGCTTTTTGACATTCGGGGGTCCATTCGAACTTGTGATTTTTCTTGATTGTTTTGAAGAAAGGCTTGCACCATTCTGTTGACATGGAAATGAATCGGTTGAGGGCAGCGAGTTCCCCAGTTAGGCTTTGGACTCCCTTGATCGAGGTCGGTGGTAGTGTACGGTTTTGATCTTCTCAGGATTCGCATCGCTACCGTGTTGGCTAACGATGTAGCCAAGGAATTTTCCCGAACCAACGCCGAAAGTACATTTCTTTGGGTCGAGCTTCATCGAATAATCACGCGAAATGGAAAACATTTTATTAAGGTCGTTTACATGATTGGACGCGTGCACAAAATTAACTAACATATCATCGACATAGACTTCCATGTTGACTCCTATCAGACTAGCAAACATTTTGTTAACCAGACGCTGGTAGGTGGCCCCGACGTTCTTCAAACCGAACGACATCATTGTATAGCAATAGAGTTCGCGCGCCGAGTAGAATGAGTTGTCCTCCTCGTCGTCGGGGTGCATGGGAATTTGGTTGTAGCTGGAGTACACGTCCATAAAGCTCATCAGCTCGTGGACTGACATGGCATCGACCATGTAGTCGATGTGAGGCAGGGATAATTATCTTTTGGGCAGACCTTGTTGAGGTCGGAGAAGTCAATACACAAGCGTCAGGGCCCGCTACTTTTCTTTACGAGTACTGGGTTGGCCACCCAGATCGGGTATCAGACCTCCCTGATGTACTTGTTGTCTTTCAGCTTGATTACTTCCTCCTCGAGGCCTGCTACCAGTCTGGTCCTAATCTTCTTCTTTTTTGCATGACCGGCCTGACCGTCAAGTCGACCTGCAGCCGGTGGTAGGAAACATTCGGGTCAATGCCAACCATAGCTTCATGGGTCCAGGCAAAAACGTCGGCATTTTTCTGAAGGAATTGCATCAATTCGGCTTTCAACGGCCCCGACAGCTTGCTCCATATGCGGAGTTGTTTTTTACACTCATCGACGAAGATGATCTCGACCTCGTCCATGGGTTCAGCCCGCTTGGTGCCCCTTTTCTCTTCAAACTGGGTGCGGGGATCGAGCTCGTCTTCTTCGACTACCGGCTCCTTGTCGGCTCTTCTACCTTGGTCTCTGTTCAGGTTGACCTCGGACTCCTCATCTATCGGGCCGGTGCCGCCTGTAGCCAAGGGAATCGAACCTGTATGGTCTACCAGCATGCGGTCGTCCACCGGGTTGGCATCGACTTAGTGTCTGTGATAATCTTATTCGAGTCATCAACTCTTTCTTTTCCCGCCTCGACATCCACCAAGTCGACGGTCTGGTAGGAGTTAGCCATGTTTATTTCTATTCGGGGGATGGTCAGAATGCTCACTTCTTGTTGATCTTCCCGATGGTTTTCTTCTCCATCTGAGGTCAGGAATTTGATGGAGTAGTGCAAGATGAAGACGACACCTCTCAACTTGTAGAGTGACGTCCTGCCAGAATGGTGATGTATTCGCTTGGGCAGTCCACGATCTTGAAGGTTTCGAGGATTGTCCTCGTGGGATGCCCGTCTTCTCTAAACTTGATCGCAATACAATTTGACCGACATGGAGCGTCATCTGCCCGTTGAAGCCTTGGATTTGTTCCCCGCAAGGCTGGACCTCCTTCATGTCGACACCCATCTTCTTGAAGGTGTCGTAGTAGAGGATGCTTGCATAGGCCCCCGTGTCGACCATGATGCGATGAACTTTGATCGCCATGATGTGTGTCGTGATCACTAGGGCGTCGGAGTGCGAATGTTCGAACGGGAACGCATCCCCATCGATGAAGGAAATTTTGTTTGGAGTGGGCTCGAATGTCGGTCTATTGTCGGCATGCTGGACCCTCTGCCCAGCGTAGTAGGCTTGTCGGGCGTAGGCTTTGGTGTGCCCCCTTGAAGGGAGAGAGTCACCCCAGCTCGTATCGACGCGCCGAGGTGGGTGTACTTGTTCGTTGCCCCCTCGTTCGAGGGGCCGATCTCTCGTTCTGGTTCTCGAAGTGCCGGTCTCGTCTTGGTGGACTGGGTAAAAAGTCAAGATTTTATGGTCGCCGCTCTGCTGCAATCTCTTCGATGGTGGACGTCGTCATCCTCACTGTCCAAATTTTTGTCAAACGAGCCTTTCTTTCGCTTGTCGCCGAAGTGAGTGAACTTCTACATTTGTGGATCGTCAATAAGTTGCATGAGTGCCTGGAGAAGATTGCGGCACTGGTTGGTGTTATGTCTGTGGCCTTCGGGGAAGGTACAGTATCTTGATTTGTCAAGTTTGCTCTGGTCCGCTTGCATAGGCTTCAGATCCGGGATTAATCCTTTGGTCTTGATCACTTCATAGATTGCCGCCGCTCATACCAAGAAGACCCTCGATAGCTCTCTTTGAGCTCCTCGGCTTCCTGTTTTCTTAAGGATCGAACTTCTACCATGTTCTTGCTCGACTTCAACGACTTCCTGTCTTTAGCCTTTCCCTTAGTCGAAACCCCATCAATTGTCGGGATCGACATTGATTCCTCTGCCATGATGTAGTTCTAGGCTTGAGTTAGGAATTCCTGGTATGTGCTCAACATGTTTTGGCACATGTTTCAGGCCGGCTTGCACGGTCACCAGCAGAGTTTCAGGGTGACATTGTTCCATATTTTGGACTCGATCGTTGAACCGAGTAATGTAGTCCTTCAGGCTCTCGTCTTCACCCTGGATGATGTTGGCTATGGATTCCCTCGGGGCGAGGTCTATCTGGGATCTGGTGAAGTGCGAGCGAAATGTCGATCTGAGTTGTCCCCTCGAGGATATGGAATGGGGGTACATGAAATGATACTATCTTTGTGTCTTGGGCCCCAGTGTCAGGGAGAACATTTGGCACCGTAGGGCGTCTGTTGCTCCATGCAGGTCCATCCACGAGGTGTAGAGGCCGATGTGAGAGTCTGGGTCTGAGCTTCCATCGTAAAGTTTGAGCCTCGGGACTTTGATCTTTGCATTTCACGACCTCCTGCAAGATGTCCGGGGTGAAGGGTGAAGCATGATCCACGACCGCATGGCTGGCTTTGGCGGGGGAGGAAACGACGACCTTTCATGCAGCATTGCCGAGCGTCCAGCTCGGCTATTTTCAGTTTAAGGGCTGCGATCTCGTCAGTATTGCACCCGACGGTCTTTCCCCGTTCTATGACCTCCCTCAGGTCGCGATTTTTCTGGCTTTTATTGCCCAAATGTTGGTACATCGATCTGCAGACGACTTATAGGCTTGGTTCTGGAAGACTTTTGCTGGTATGCTCGGTCCGCGCCATGCCAGTGGTCTTTCCGTGATGGTTTTGGGCTTCTTTGTTGGGCGATTGGGCCGTGGTCTTGAAATGGGCTGCCCTTTTCCCTTTCCTGCTGCCCTTTTTTTCTCTGGGGTTTTGAGCAGGGTGTTGCTGGGGTTTTCCGTCGCAGTGACAGTATGGCCCCCGGCCGCGTGGCTGGACAAAGCTTTGGCAAAAGCACCCTCAAGGACCTTGAGGACGTCGGTATGCTGCATTGCGGCAACGAAGGTCGGGATCGCGGAACTGGGGCTTGAGTCCCCGCCTGACGCTGATGTAAGGTCTTTTCGCCATTGCGACGGCGAGATTGAGCCCCAGATTGTTGAGTGGATTCGTCCTGACTAGAAGAAGTCATTTTTAGCGAGTTCTTTGTTTAGAAAAAAGAGAAAGAACGAGATAAGAATGGTTGTTCCACAAAACCGAACAATTGACACCAAACAAATTATGGTGCCCTTTCTCTAGCGCCAAACTGTTAATGGACGGATCCTTTGACCACTCCTGGAACCATCGCTAAGACCCGCTCCTTCAATGGTTAAGATTATATTTTATGAGAGTAGAAAAGAGAAAATAAGGAAGAAATACGGCTAAAATAGCTTTTATTACGTAATCACGAGATCGGCCTCCGATAATGAGATCGGCACTTCTGTTACAGTTGAGAGTAATTATGGGAATTTATTATAGATTGTAGAGAGAAAAAGTAGTAGTTGTTGATTTCAACGACCCAGAATAAATAAAATTAGTCTTCTATTTATAGTTGCCTTAAATTCAGCGCTATTCACCCTGTCTTGTCGTACAGTAGCTCTGTCGAGCAGACCGACGCTTCTCTGACAGTCATTGAATGCGATTTGAGGTTTCTCCAGTCATGACCTGCCAAACATTTAATGCACACATGAAGGCATTAAATGCTGGCAGGCCTTTCTGCCGAGCTAGATACCCAAGGGTGGGTAGACTAGGGTGGCTTGTCCCATCGGCAATTATTAGTCTCCAAGTGGCAGTATTATATTACTCTCAAGTCCGGCATGCCTCTGGTGGCCGATCTCATGGAATCTCCAGGTCAGACTTTCGGCGTTTGTTGATTTGCCATCTCTTCAGGAACCTTCAAATCTGCTCGGCATCCCAAGAGTTCGGCCCTTCAGTGTGAAGAGAATAATGCCGACCTCTGAGAATGCGCAAGTTGTCATTGTGGGTGGTTCTCTTCTTGAGTCAACTCTGCACTTTGGGTCGACTCGCTGACCGGTCAGACCGCGAGGCGGTCTTCCTCCGATTTTTTTGTTGCCGAACCGTAAACCCCGGGTTAGGCCGATCCGTATATCAACATGGTATTTGAAAAATATATAGTTCATAAGATTGGAATTCATGTAATTATGAATGATACAATATTTAAGAGCATGAAGAGAATAAATATCATTTTTTTTCAACTTTGTAAAGATTACATTTGTGCCCCCTCAGTCTTCCGAGGCTGCGTCCGCCCCTGGTCCCTGTACCGTGAAGACTTGGGCCAGTACGAAGGTTGTGCTATGGCATTCTCGAGTGCATGCGCGACCTCAACTGGGCAGCTTGTAGGCGTCCGCTTGAGGAGTTCGGGTACGACCCGTTGGCAGCGAGTTCTCCGATCACCTCGCGCGACAATGTCATGGGCAGACAAAGTGCGACCCAGCGACGCTGCAATAGGCCTCGGCAACGCACCCAGCGCATGCAGCAAGTGACCTGCAAAATGACCCGAATGCGCACGACGAGCCCGATAATGCAGAAATTCCAGGTGACTCTGACGACGATTCTGTCAACGAGGGGAGAAGGGTGGGCACAATTCCAGTAGAAAAGCCACTTAGAAAAGAAGATTGATGCCTTTGGGAGTTCTTTTCTAATGCGGAATATCTTTCCCAATGGGAAGGAGAATTATAATTTCCTAATTGAAAAGGATATTAAATTAATGGCCATAATAGTGGATATTGTATATCTATGTTCTATTATTTGCTATTAATTGCATAGATATGCATGTGATTGATTAACACTGTCAAAATTGCATGGAAATTAATTATTAATATGGAATGTTAATTCTTTAATTAAGTTGCTAAAATGACATGTGAATTAATTTGATTGTATATTAAAAAATCCTCTTTTAAAATACTAAGTGTGCGAAAGAATATTTAAAGTTAAGATATTTTTAAAATTCTACGTCTCCATTGACGGTTTGTCGATGATATATTTTTATTTGAAGTGTGGGCTCTTCCACCAGGTGAAACTATTGAAAATTAAATTTGTTGGATCACTTAGGGTCGCGGAGTTTACTATTTTTTCCTCGGTGTCGCGGCCTTGGGGTCTAGGAGTTGCCAGTCAGCTGGTGGGGTGGGCTTATTCTAGTATTTTATTTTTGTGTTTTTAGTGTTTGTGTTTTTTTGTGGTGTTTGATTTCCTTTTGGGAGTTATATTCTCCTGCTGGGAGCTTTTGGGTGTGTTGTCCTGTTTAGGCGGCTCGTAGGGTTGTCCTTCCTTGAGATTCAGTCGTGTAGCTGCTTTATCCGACTGTTACCGACTGGTTCCTCTGTCTGTAATTACGTGTTTTTATTTACGAAAGTATGTCGTTTGAAAAAAAAAAAAAACTAATATAAAGATCAAATAGATAGTATATGTCCACTACTATGAAATTTGGAGATATTTTATCAATACCGGATTTTCTTTTCCTTACAACGACAACTTATGTAAATTCATAGCTATAAATTAAATTGACAGCATAATAGACAAAACATAACTCATTGTGGGTGCGTGTACTCCGGGCTAAATATCGTATCACTTTGTCAGTCGACGTTTTTAGTGTGTCCGGTCGGCGATGCTCGGCGCTAAAGAGGCGATTGTTCATGAGTGGCCCAATGTGGTGAAGGGTACACGATCTGTCGATCGCTTGGTGGATCGGCAATAGAAGTTTTTAATGAAGATATAAAACTACAACATACGTATTGGAAAAAAAAAAAA